ACCCTCCATTCCGCGATTTTCAAATATAAGAGTATTAGTTGGCTTGATACCAATATCAATACGCGAAAGACGCGGGGTAAAACCCGGGGTGGCCCCCCATTTTTACTCTCCAACAGCAACGAGACCATCTAATATATTAGTATAGGTTGGCAGAATTTCTTCTTTCAAGCAGGTTTCATTGAAGACCAGAGAATTTGTTTTATTCGCAATTTTCTTATTAGTTTTTTTTCAATATATCGAACAATATTCTTAGTTTGAACTGGCAAATCGAAAATCAGGTTACCGGTGGACATTTTTATTTCGTTAACGACGTTTCGAATGTTTCTATCATTCATTATCAAGTTAAAAGTGATTGAGTGATTGAGTGATGATTGAGTGATGAAATTAGCGTCGACATAAGTACAAAATCATCAAGTAAATAGGATACTACTCAGAAATCAAAATTGTTAGGAATAATTACAAAATCACAAAATAATTTAGAATCAAAGCACCGAAAATTACTCCGAAAACAGTCTCAAGGTTCTGACAAATCCAGTAGTTTGAAGGTTGATGGCTGGGGTCCTATCCTTAATGATGAGGGCCTCAGCTATCATGAGTCGGTTGGCGTCGGGGCATCTCATGACGACGCTGGTGCATTCCTCCAGCACCGTACGAGTGATGGTCTCCTTGTGGGCTTCCATCAGGTGGTTCCTTGGTCCACCAGACTGAAGGTGGCACGTGAGACGTCGGCTTAATGTCGTAGTAGTGAGCCCGATGTGGTCCATATTGGGGAGAACTCTACAACCTTCTCTATTGCAAGAAAATTTATAGACTACATTGGTCTCTTAGAAAACTCCCCTTTTTTGCAGGGGTTATTGTTCATTACAAGATTCTGTATTTTCTTGTTTTTGTAATAAATCAGTAGTTTAATTTTATTATTAGTTACGTTCACGATGTTGTTGTGAACGATAGAATGAAGGATCCGTTCATCTGCTTTATAACATCTAGCTAGTAGTAGTAGCTAGCAGTAGGCAGTTAAAAGGAGACACGTGTCGAGAAACATGATAGTACCTTTAATGCTGTGTCTGTTGCTGTTTATGAACGCTGCAATTATCAACGTGTAAAAATTTTCATCAATGTATGTATTTTCATAAATGTATGTTAACCAATGTCATACCGCTCCCTGAATAAAATCGTCGAAAAAGAGTGTCCATCAATGCCCTCGAAGATCTGCAAGTGATAGTTTACGCAACGCAAACGGTATGCGAACGATCACTACAGTATAAGCCTTTTTATTAAGCCTACATATTATGTAGGCTTAATAACTAGCAAAACACGAAAATGAAGGCGCCTCTACAGGCGCCGTAGAGGAAAATCGAGATATTTTGTATTTCCCGAAGCAGCTGATGGTGAATCAGTCTGTATTGGAATTATAAAGTCATCTTAGCGACCCTACTATATGTGGTACAACAAAGAGGTAAAATTCTAACCTGATATTTGATGTTAATTTTGATGATATCACAATTAGGTAAAGTGTCCCAATGTACTCCAAGGACAGTCCCACTGTATCCCTGGTCGGGTTACTGTGGGGCATTTTGTTTCATTTTATGTTTTTATTATTTCTAGTCAATGGGACAGTTCTGATCCTTGCTCAGGCTGTTAGCAATGTAAACATGCATGTAATGCTTACTTTTACTTGGAATTTCGTATCTAAAAATATAACCTAGTTATTTTTCATTTAAGTTTTTTTTCATGTACCCCATTTGCCCCTACATAATCGCATCCACAATATGGTCACTTTATCGCCATGTCAGGTATCAGTAAACAATTTCAGCGGATGACTGGATATTCGATCGATAATTATGGTGAAACTTGCCAATATCGGCAGTCCTCGATAGCTCGCACTCGAAGTCCATGAAGTACGCCAAAGCTGGTTGACGAAGTATTTTAGAGGGTTGCTCACTGAAGGACGTTCTAAAATTTTATTCATACCCTGGAAAATGCCCCTCAATTATTTGTGCATGTTGAATCTTGTTGAAAACTGTCCATGCAATTTGTTGTTCCAGTTCATCAGTTAAATCAGTGAACTATTGAGATGGAAGGAATCCAATCGTCACACTATTTATCCATGAAATGAGTCAGTTTAACATTGGATCACCTCAGTTTCGTAACTATGCAGATTAATTCCGTGTGCGAAGTTCTTCTTCGACAGGGTAAAAAAGTTTCTGCAATGAATCTGCTTTATTAAGTCCACGAAATTTCAACATAATAACTTGAAACAAGTCAACCAATTAAACTGGTTTGAAACAGTTTATTAGATTGGACCAGTTTGTTTGGTTCTTTTTTGAACTAGTTTAGAAAATATCCAAATTGTGAGGCACCGATGAACTTCCGGCGAAATCTGCAAATCCCAAAAAAGCAGGAGCGTCGTGAGTCGTGTCCATGATGGCCATGCGGGGAGCTACGCCATAGCGACTTGGAGGCACACAATGAGCCGCGCGAACTGTAATGCGCAACACAATACATTATTATTATTACTCAGGAGTAAATATTCAAGTACAGCATCGAGATAAAGAACGATAAAATGTGCGTTTTGGCACGACTACGCACGGCCTTTTTGAGAGGTGCGATGAACAATTGTAAAGAAGAGTCTGACTTCCTCAACTGATATCCGAACAACAAGTGAAGCTTTAGAAGAGGCTTGGGCGACTCGTAAATAGCGCATATTCAAATTAATCCTAATTTGTCAGCTTTCAACTGTGCTTCAAACCTCAATGTTATTTTGGGATATTTCGAGAATCACAGAACACGTTTGAGGAGAAGCATCACTCATGCGCCAAATTAAGCCCGTTCGAAACTTTATAAAAGCATTGAATCTTACAGCATGGAATGGAAGTACGAAAAGCTCAGGACAGTTACATTTGTTAAGATATGTTGGTCATTTCTACTGTTAATTTAATTTGAATTTACTTGGAGCTGATTCGTAGTAGATGGTAAATAACTATGGTGCGCTCTATATGTTTATTAAACTAGGGCGCTGGCATTATATATATATATAGTCGCTCATATATTCTCCCGTCATTTTTTAATAGAAATTTAGAAAAACTTTAGTAGTTAAGTTTAGAAAAAAGAATTCTAACGAGAACTCGCGCTTATCTCAGAGTCAACGGTACTCTTCTTTCAATTTTATTTGCAGTATTATCTTGTAGAAGTAAACGTATGGGATATTGCTTTAAATCTGGACAGTTTAAATTTTTGCAACGCACATTTAATTTATTCTTTGATGCCCGATCTATAAACGGCAAATCATCAATGAACAAGTTTTCGTTATTCAGACATTTTTTTATTTTTTAAAAGACGTTTCAAGATTACGAAAAAAATGTGTAAATGTTTTTTAAATTTTAATATGAATAAATAGGAAATGAAAAAATCCAACAGTCAACTTTAGCTGCAACATGCGATACATGCGGCCTTAGGTGAACAATCCCGACATAAGTAAGCTGACGCGATACTGCTGGCGAGATCAACGAAACAGCTACCTACTCTTTGGTTATCCACTTATAGTTGTTTGGTTAAATTAATGTGGGTTAGGTTATGATGCTGTGTCAAGACAGATTTAATTTAAAAAATAAGGTGTAACTTTTCTCTAAATTCAAATCAGTCCAGATTTCAATCATTATCATGAATATAGAGAGTAATAAACGCAAACAACTCACGTTGAAATTTTTCATTGTATCAGCATGGCACTTGGTGTAAGCTGTTTGGTATTTTGGAATTCCGTTACATCTGCCACTCAGTACTTTCGAGTTGAAAACAGCAGTGTCAAACTTGCCGTCAGGTGTCACCTGTTGAAATAATAACTTTGTTGAGCGAGTCATGTGAACATTCGTAACAAATTTAACCTTTTTCATTAGATTTTTTTCAGTTAAATTCCAGTAAGTAAAATGTTCTGAATAGAGGTGGGACAAAGTATTAGGCGGGACATTGGAGGACATCGTATTCAAAAACAACAAAGGTGTGTTAACAAACATCGGATAATTTCGGATAAAAACTAATGAAAGCTTTTCAACTACGCCTTAACTCGTAATTTAGTTACGAAGTAATAAAATCAATAGCTTTAGTTTTATATATGCGTCGCGGATACCGGGGAATAATTTTTCGAATACTAGAGGAAATATTCTTGCCTAGGCTAGAATGTAAAAGTGGTACACACCACGAAACTGCGAACCATTCATCATTGAATTTTATTCGCGCATCACATCCCATCATAGCAAAGGTTTATATGGCCTCATATATTAGATTCCCAAGTTACACTTTTTGTATATGCCAAGTCTCCATCGTATTTACTGATGCAGTTTCTTTTCATTACGCAAAATTTAGGTATGGAGTACAAAAATATAGTAGATTTTCCTGATTCATTTTTTACGTGTTCATGTTAACATCTCCTGCCACACCAGAGAAACAAGAGTTTTCATTGCAGAAATTTTTCCTTGTCGTCTGCACAGGAATTCCATGTTGTCTACTTTCAATTGTTTAGTTATTGAACATTCACCGAATATAGGTAGCATAGAGATAGAAATATAATCTAATTTCAGTTGGGCAAAGATTGATAACTCGTCTAACTCCTGTTGTGTGGGGCGGGAAGATCGTATAGTTTCAGCACGATAGCGATGGTTAACAGCTAGGGTGTCAATCCATAAGTCGTCTAATTTCAGTTGGATTGCAATGGACAACTCGTCCACTATGAGGTAAAATCTGGTAAATCAAGCTTTTCTTCGAACATCTGAGGGGCGAATAGACTCGCATTCCACCGATGATTTACAGAATTGCACAACGGAACATCGTATTTACCAGGCCATTTCTTGACGCAGCGCATTTATAATAACCATTCAGAAACGGGTCACAGAAGGCAGCATCGTAGGTACCGGGATATATACCCGTAAGCCCGCACTGCGGATCTGTGGTAGCAAAAGTGTTAATGAGTGTTTATTTGGAGCTCTCAAACATTAAACATTTGAATAGAAGCATTCGAATAAAAATGTAACTGCACACAGTTTATTGTATTATAAAATCGTTGCCTTGGACTAAACTCGAGGCTGTGAACATGTCAACCTAGTAACGAAAAAACCGAGGACAGTAAATATGAACAATTTTGTTTTTTAGTGCTCACTCGATCCCGGAAGGTTCAACTCTAAATCGGCGAACAATAATACGAATGTAATATCTGACTGTATAATACCTAAATAGCACGAGTGAAATATTTGAGATAGAATAATTTTTGGAACCTGAACGTGATCGATAACTTGATGTAACCGTTACGAGTGACTTCGAAATTTGGAACAGCAATAATCTATAATATTACGCTGTTTTACGAATAATAGCGGTATACTTTATAAAGGCATTAAACTTGCGAGATGTGGCACATTAATCCTGTCCGTCAGCTGGCTTTCGCATCGATAAATAATTTAACGATCTCCTAAAATAACTTTACAGTTTACACAAATCTGCATAGAAAGTAAAAAATAAGGAAACTCAGTTACACAATAAAAGCTGATATTGATCTAAACGGAACCTGCCGCAAACTACTATTTAATTCAACAATATAACATACAGAGTAACAGTAAGATAAAATGCATACTAATACATTAGTAAAAAAATCTAATGAATCTGAATGGCCTTAAAGCTTACACGTCACACGACCTATCACTGCAACGTTTTCAACGCAAATAACATGAATCGCAAAAGGGGCTTACAGCTACGCGGAAGTCGAGCTTGGCGGATAGTTTTCGAAATAACGGAGCAATAAAAACACCAATCTTAATATTAACTCACGTATACACTATACAATCGTTGTGTTTTATAGCCAGCTCTAAATATTAGCCCTGATTTGAACAGACTTGAGGGTCAATAGAAGACACGGAGCGATGTAAGGATTTAATTGACTTAAATATCCCAGGTATCATCATGTATCTAAACGATGTTGCTGAGTTAGGAAAGCCTTTCAATTTATAGATAGAAGATAGGAAACCCTGCAATACTGCAAGTGGAAATACTTAAAAAAATTTGAAATGTTATTAAAATTAAGTGAAACCATTCGTAACAGTTTACCGTTGTAAAAGTTCAACCTTCTCTAATAATATTTCACTGTTGAGATATTTTTCGAGTTTCATTCATTATAAGAGATTTATATTATGTAAGAACTCACATGTTAGAAATTTTTCATAATCCACAGCGTTCTTTGAGTAGCAGTCTCCAGCTGGTATGAGCGAACGTGCCTTTTTCAAAGCACTCAAACAGTCGGTGCTTCTGTGAACGGGTTATCGAATCTTAATTTAAAATAGGAAGACAAAAGCCGTCACTTACCTACACATCTCAAAATATTTTACGAAAGACCATCCTATATAGACAATTAATACCATTATTTTATATTTTTTTATCTCTATTATATGCAAAGTTTGTCAGTGGTTATAGATTTAACATACAGTAGTATGAAAATAGAAAAAAATGTGCCAATGGTGGCATGATAATCAGGTAATACAAATTCTAGTCAGTAATTGTCTAAAAAACATTGCTACAGTCAATTTTATAACTCAAACAATGATTAAAACTGAGAATTTCTTTATGAGTTCATTTTACACTTTTTTTCTATTATCTCTCTGTATATAAGTAAAATTACAGTATGTACATCGAAACGGATACATCATCGGTTAATCCTGTTCGTTGATACTATTATAATCATTCTTGCAACTTTTGTCATCAACTTAACTTAAAATGTTATCAGTCGTCTTGACCCAAGTATGGAAATCCATCCTTAAAAATTATATGCAAGGATAATTTATTCTCAAAGATTCATTTGTCGACTCAAACAAAGCAAATCAACGAAGTATGGTTATCACAAAACACTTACGACTGCGCAGACGCTGCCGCTACGACAGCGAATAGAAGCAAAAGTGCACGAGCCATCTTCTTCTCTCAGCGATGCGGGACTGCGCGGAGTGTCTCGAGACAGTCGAGGTTTCTGCTCCATGAGACACTGGAGCCTGGCGCTCTTCTTATAGTCTGTGTTGTTGTTGGATCAGGTGCGATATGACGAAGCGTCTAAAGCTGATCATTCTGTGGGGATTTACAAGATGGATGATGAAGGTGATGCCAACTCATGTAATTTTATAAATTACAAATTTTTCGTGAATTAACTATTCCTCGCTTATGAAAGGAGTCAATGCTTAGGAAGAAGATCACCTTTGAAGATAGGAATTGTGATTAATTTGGTTATGGGCTTATCTATGCTTATTATTTCCAATCCTAACTATTACATAATAGTTATTAAAAGTTCCGTAAGAATCAGAATTGCATTAGAAGTGAAAGGTATGGAGGATGTATTACAGTTTGTAGTCATTTATGAAATATATGCAATAGTGGCTCATACTTATGCTGTAAAAAGAAGTTTTGCGATCTCGAAATTTGATAAACTGTCTTGCACCTCTGTAATGATGGCAATAGACATGTAATCGTTTAATGTTAGCATAAGTTAGTCATCGAAAAAAAATGTGGGCAATAGCCATGCATATAAGCAATTCAGTCCTTAATAGGCGTCAATTCTCAAACTGAACAGTAAGTCGCGTATTCTTTATAATAATCAAACATTCCAGGAATGTGTGCAATCACCTTGGAACCTAGCTCTTAATAATAATTTATTTAAGCCCTATTAATCGCTTTATTTTAAACAAATTTATGATGCATTTCTATTTTTTATCTTTTTAAACTCCACATCTCCTCTGATGAAGATTTTGTTAAATCCTGAATTTTCGCAAAACAACAACAATTTTAGTTGCACAGAACGCAATATTTTAGACGTTTAAATGGAAAATAAACATTGGCCTCTGGATTTTACTCTCATAATTACAAAACTGAACTAAAATAATTATAAATTGTCAGAAAAATAATTATAATTATATACTGTATATCAGATATTAATAAGCTAAACAAAAATTATTCCAAAAAATCGCCGTGTCATAATTACAGATAACCAAGTAAATTACACAGCAAGACTTTACAAATAATACATGAATATATATGACTAATTTACGTACGCGAATTTCAAATGGTAGTGATTTTCAGTAATTTTTTCAGTAAATGTTATTGTTTGTCCACGAAATTTAAAGGTAATGTGAAATTGAATGTTTAATATTGTCGGGTGCGAACAATATTCGATATTTTCAATTAATTTAGAAGATTGTTCATGTAAAAAAATAGAGTTCAAGTCAACAAAATGGAAAAGGCAAATTCACAATAATAATGATTACAAATAGTTTCATCGCAAAAATTTTAATGGATTATCCTACCTAAGAATTCGTCAAGTTTCAGCAAAAAATGAATCATATACAATTCATTTGAAACCCGAAACGGTGCCATGAACTGAAGTATGTAATACAAAGAAATATAATAATTGTCAATGAAAAAATGTTCACCCACAAATGACTACATTTGAAATAGATCCCCGTGTATCCATGATATTCTATGAAGAAGAGCCTGACAGCTAAGCCATAATCAATCAAGTTAAATGTAGTGGAGGTTGTAATTTTTTGTAATAAATCTTCTTAATTACTTTAGGTGTTCATTAAGTTGTATTCAGATCAATTTCAAATCTCGTCCTCGACATCTCATGTTTGTTCAATTGTTCGAAGCCTGGACGGATGTCTAACAGAGTGCATCGTTCAAAGATCGTTACTCAGATAAACCTTGATGTTAAGTTATATTAAGAAGATTTATGTATGTCAGGGATTAATATATCATGGACATAACTTCACTAAGAGTTTATGATACAACACCTAACGTAGATACAAGTGTTTTTCCTCAACAAAAGGCATCATTAGGGAACATCGTTGAAAAGAACGATGCGAGCGATAGATCATAAGAGCTCCAGGCTGATAACATGAACTTACTTATAAAGACCACATCTAAGATCGTTCAAGAGAACATTAGAGATTTGATCTTTATGGCGTGTGAGAAGAGTTCAGCATTTAGAATCATCAGCTTGTCATTGACTGTTCATTAGGCGCGGTCATTATTTGACTTCTGACGATCGATCACTTGAATGGAACTGATCCTATACCTTAGTGACGCGCCGGAAATATATAAAAGTATCTTCATATATATATGCCTCGTGGAATGGAGCATCTACATTGCGAAATTTTCGATTATTTTTCGTATAATTTGTCGAGCATTGCAAAAAAAATAATTGATGAGATTTCGAGAAAAAGTTATTACTTCTGAAGTGGTGTTTGATTGAATATCTGAAAAAAGCATAGGTTCTGCGGTATTCATATATTTTCGGATTTCGGAGCGTTCAATTCAGCGGATTGTACTGTGGATGCGTAATTTACATACCATTCTATATCTCATTCAAGATGAGGTTCTTCCTCAATTGAATAGATGAGATTTAGCCACGCTTTTTGTCACAATGTTAGGGTTTTATAGAGCAGATTTTAATTCATCAAGTATTTTTATATTCGACAAGTAATTTTAGGTTTAGAGGAATCTGTTTATTGCGTGCACGGGTTAGGAATAGCAGGCTTGTCATTGTTGTGCGGAACCGTGAAGGAGGTGGGTGTCGTGTGTCATCATGGTAGCTAAGGATCTGTAAAATCTTAATCTGTAAACTATGGTGGAAATATATTCTGTGTTTGTCTAAAATTAGGTTATTCAATTTTGTATTTATGTATTTATTTGTATTTATTTATGAGTCCATTAGGTTGCACTGGTTGATTTGTTATTGATGTATTTTCAGGGAAGCCTCGAGACTTAAGAATTACACCTTTTAACTAAGAACTCTCGTATGACTTGAGCCCTGGGAGAAGGGGACAAAGGGAGTTGAAGGACGACACGAGCCATAAATGAGCAAGTGTTTGGGCCTAGCTGGCATAAGGATTGAGCCCACAACATATTTGGCGCCGTGACTTGCGTAAATGTACAGTTAACGTCCCTTCTCAAGTCACGACGAAGAATCACATGTGAGGCTTTCCTCTGGATCGGTTGCGTGGTTGTCAGAAAGGTGAGATTTCACAGGCCATTGAAATACTGTTCAGAATGGCAACTGCGTTAAATGAGAATAATGGTGACGCTGAACAGGATGACGATAACTTTATTCGTGTAAACCTTGATGCCGCTAAACAGAATGAAGATGACTTTGTTCGTGAAAACCTCGATTATATTGATACGTTTTTAAAGAATTTGCAAAAACGTGATGGTGCATTAACAGTAGAGACAGCTCAACGTGTAAATGAGTTTCAGACAAACTGGAGCCAGTATTTCACAAATAAGAGCGTTGTCGCCCCGACGCACGGATTAGAGGGCACTAGTGAGAGGCATCAGGGAGAACGTAATTCTACTAGACGGGTAGTTGGTGTAAATTCAAGGTGGCCCGTGAGATTTGACGTCGCTGATTCTAGTGATTCGTCGCCCGAAGAAGATGAGCAGCAAGAGGAATGTGTAAGAGGATCGACTAGTTCGGAGATAGCGAATCGGAGGAATGATAAGCACCCAAGGAAGCGCTAAAGCATTACTGACTCTGAAAATTGGAAGGCTATTTTAGGAAAGATAAACAGTAAAGTGCCGGTGCTGGAAAAATACACCGAGGAAGGTGGATTGCCCTTGGATAAGTATTTCGTGAAGTTCGAGTGCCACTGTGAACAGAACCTGAGAGGAGATCGTAATTCGTGGATAGGAGAATTAGAACAGCATCTTCTGGATAAGACCTTAAAAGCATTTCGCTCCCTGCACGATGTGAATGACTCTTATGACGCAATCAAAAACAAGCTGTGTGATTGGTACAGGGACCACAGTGAAGTGAGGCGTGAGCGAAATAAAGCTTTATTCAAATCAGCCCGACCAGATCCGAATGAGTCGATGTTTTTGTTTAGCAGCAGACTCGAGCGACTGTTTAAAATCGCTTATCCAAGGAAGCACGTTAATGTCAGTAGAAAGCTATGTGAAAAGTTCATTGCGTCATCGCCGAAACGATTTGCGAAGATTTTGAAATCACAGGTCATGATGTGTAAAATCAATGGAGCACCGATGAAGTGGACTATGTTACAGAAGTGCGCGCGTCACTATGACGTGGAACGCGAGAGAGAGGGAGCAGCGAGTCATGATAGTGCAGATGAAGATTTCACAGTCAATGTTCTCCAGAAGAAAAGAGACGCCGTTGTTCAAGTTGAGGCGCCAGGCTTCGTATCAAGGAATGACATTCAGTCTTCCTACGCTCGCGGTGCACCCAATGTTAGCTTTCGAAGAGCATCAGAGCATTATACAGCAGGTCGGGGCGTGTCTAACGTGCCCCAGAACCCGTGGCGTGGCCCAGTGAACCATCCGACGAGTTACAGGAATGACGCTTGTACGTTTTGCAACAGAGTTGGCCACGAAAGGACTGGATGCCGCTCGCGGTTGGGATTATGTTTTGGTTGCGGAGGAGCCAACCATGTTCTACGTGATTGCCCGAACAGGCGCCAAGCAACCAACCCTCGCCAGATCGTCAGGTCGTCGCATCAGTCGTCGCGTCCACCCACAAGGAACGAAGAGGTTAACAGAAGGTCGTATCCTTTAAACCTACAAGCTCCGACCCGAGAGAGGTGAAGTTGGGGCGTGGAAGCAATTGGAAATCCTCTCCACAGTCTCTGCCTCTGCGCAACCGGTTCGAGGTCTTAAACGACGAAGTTGGTGGGCTTGATGAACGAGACACAATTATAAGTGCAAAACCCGCTACAATTATTAATGACGTAACTTCAAGTGTAATAACTAATCGTGATAAAACTGAGGAAATTGGGGGAACTACCCTTCCTGAAATCAGTAAGGGGTCGGCATCAAATGAGATTGGTGTTTCACAGACGTCTTCATCAGTGCAGGCGAAATCAAGTGATAACGTCGTAAACATCGCTTTTCTGCCAGCTAAACTCTTGGTCATCCCGGTGAATGTTGAGGAGCAAGATGCTAAAGCATTAATTGAGAGCGGAGCCTCGCTCAACATCATCAAGGCGTAATT